ATTGCTATTTTCATATACTAAAGGAATTACAATCCTAAAATCATTTTGAAGTCATACATCTAAACTACCTACAAATTAGTCCTCTCTTCAAAAGGACTAGCCTTAATGAGCACATATTTCGCTACTTCGGCATCGGTTGAGTAAATGAGTTAATTACCTTGACTTTTGCTTCAAAAGAATAAGCATGATTCCCTACTTCGGTACTTATGTTATAGTTATCAGTAGCACCAGTATCTAACATAGCCCTAATTGGCTTACCATTTATCTTCACATCGATGTACATTAAGTCTTTATCCATACAAACACGGAGTTTTAACTATTCCTCTTTTACCTTCTTCAAGGAAACAACTCCCTTTTCAGTTTTACGGTACTATATTGTGTTGCACCAATTTGCTCTTTGGTGCCTTTTTTTTGTTCTAGTTGCTTTGATTGATGCCCTGATGGCTTTTGGTGGGAGTAGCATTCCCCCATTTCAGCTCAAGCTGGCCTTGAAAGATTTGTTTCCTTCCCCTTTGAATGGGTTATTTCCCTGTAATTGATGCTTAATGGGTTCAGATTGATAGTCCATCAAACATCCAATGACTCCCATTGTTCTACTCAAATTAGTCATATTCCAATAACTCACATCAATGTAAAGAGCTCATCATTTTTCGACATGTTTCGAATACCCAGCAAGTGCTTGAAAAGATTTTCACGTACTTAATAGAGCCCTATAAATGAGTTCTCGTAGACCTGATATTCTATATTTTTCGAGAAAATTGTGATTTGATTGTCTCATTGAGGAGATCTGAAGTATTTATTTGGGCTTCTTGACTGAATATCTGCATATTTTATCTGCCACCTTTGTTCACATCTCCATCTAGATATATGGTAGTTGTCGACATCTTTCGTGTCTCGTCTTCGAAGGTAGCCACACAAAAGTATTCTAGCGTATAATTTTGTGCATGAGCTTGGCCATTTCCAATTGTACCACGTTGAAGTAATCAAGTGTTTAATTAGAGGGTTGTGACGAGACTCAGTTAGTGATGGCAAAAAAACTCGTCCCGCCCTGCCCCGACGCCGCCCCGCCCCGAATGGGGCCAAAAAAACCCGCCCTGACGGGTTGGTGGGACAAGGCGGGGAGGGGGGTGCCCCGCCTCGAAACGCCCCGAACCCGCCCCGTGAAAAATAAAAAAATAATAATTAACTACAAATTAAAAATAAAAAATAGTTAAGTAGAAGTTTTTGAAAAAAAAAATAAACGGGGTAGGAAACGGGGCAAGCCCGCGCCCCGAACCCGCCTAAGGTGGGGTGGGATGGGGGGACGGGGCGGGACTCAGTGGGGAAGTGGTGGGGCGAGGTGGGGTGGGGGTGCCCGGCCACGTCCCAAACCGAACCCGCCCCATTGCCATCTCTAGACTTAGTGAAGTAACCAAATTCTCAAATATAGGAATTTTATTTTAAAACTTACTTATAGGAAAAATTGCAATTGTGGTCCCTAACTGCCTCTAAAGGTGAAAATGAGTCTTGAGCAATTTTTTTGGCACCACTATCCCAAACTTTTGGGTATTGTTGGAGCATAAGGCTTTTTCGACAGAATTTTGAGTGATAAATAGGTTAATGCAATAATTCTTTAAAATGATTAAAAAGAAAACTAAAAATATAAACAAATAAAAAAAAATCTCTATCATCCCCAAGCTGTCCCACACACCCCACCACCACCTTCCATAAAGTGCAACTAGCGAATTTTAAAAGCTATTTTGGAAAATGTTTATAAACAGATTAAATTACAAATGCCACTCAATGGTCGGGTTTCCCTGATTGTTTAGTCACGATTGTTTTCTTTGACTTCGGTTGGTGTCTGATGATTGTTTTAGTTTCGAGTTTGTTTAGTTTGTTGTTTTTTGTCCTTCCTTTGTTTCAAAGGTAAGGTTGTCTCTAGGCTTCGTCCTAGCCGCTCCTCTCGGCCTTTGGCCTCGTAGAGGTTTTGGTTCCTCTGCTACTGGCGCTCTCTTCCGTTGGAGATTGTTGTCAGTGGTTGGAGGGCTTTTTTGTTTTCTATCGTTCGTGGTCTGAACGTTGAGTAGCTCGTGCCTCTGGCATAGGTAGCACTTAATCCCTCTGTGTAGGGCATTGTGTCGAAGATTTTTCCTCCTTGTAACCGTTTGCTATTTCAATGTTTATTGGAATTTCCCTCAAAAAAAAAATGATGAATGAGTAATATTTGTAAGTCTACAAAATGTGTAAATAAAAAGTAGTTCCACTATTTATGAATAAGTTAAAAACACAGGCTAAGAAATAATGGCATTAAGTGCAACCATGGCATCTACTTTTTCGTGTTCATTAACGAAAAATTGTTTAGTCCTTAATCTGCAAGTTAAAATTGTTGGAACAAATAATTAGGTCATTTTTATTTTTTTTTATCAAGCATCAATGTGATGAGTTTGGGTTGGAGAAGATGTAGTGGGACGGTGAAAATTCCATCAATGAAAATTGCAAGTGGTGGAGGTGTACGATAGAAGATGTGCAAGTGATAATAACAGTGTTCTAAAATGCGTAATGTCCGGTGATAGGTGGAGGCTAAGCTATTGGCTAAACGAGCTTAAGTGAGGTATATGAGTAAAAAAATGTAAAAAGACGTTTTCTCATTTTAATATTATTTTAATTTTAATCAATCAAAAAATTATTTAATAATTGAAAATAATATCTATCAAACATCTAAGCCTTCGTTTGGGCACTATTATTATATGAAAAATGCATTTTTCGATCACATCATGCATGACCCACCATGAGTGTTGAATGTCAAAGTGTTGTAACATTTATGTATCTTTTGAGATCTGCTATAGGGCCCGGCTCAATGACCGGGCCCAAATACAGGGCGCCACCTCGGCGCCCTGTCATTTGTCTAGGCCATTGAGCCGGGACAAATGGCTTTACTCGTATCTTTTTCCATTTATACACGATTACGCATTAACTATAGTAGTAGTGTTGGGGTAAAAATGATCCAGGAAAACATAAAGGAATAACTTTGCACAGCCTCTTGTCATTTCTGTGTCATTTCTTTGTGCAATGGTTAAAAAACTAAAATTGAGCTCCAAACAGGACCCTAGAACAAATGTATAGAAATTTTATACATTTTTTCAAAAGCTTCCAACAAAAGATAAGTTTCAAATGTAAATCAACATTTAAGTTAAAAGAATTGTAAAAAAATTAAAATAATAATAATAATAATAAGGCGCATAAGTGGTCATCGATTGACGTTGTCCGCTAAATAAGGCGTTAAGCTACTTGGCTTGACGTTTTCGTCGCGCATTGCAAGTGGTGGAGGTGTACAATAGAAGATGTGCAAGTGATAATAGCAGTGTTCTAAGAGGCATAATGTGTGGTGATACGTGAAGCGCGAGCTTAAGTGAGGTATATGAGTAAAAAAAATGTAAAAAGATGTTTTCTCATTTTAATATTAGTTTAATTTTAATCAATCAAAAAATTATTTAATAATTAAAAATAATACCTATCAAACATCTAAGCTTTCATTTGGACACTATTATGAGATGAAAAATGCATTTTTCGGTCACATCACGCATGACCCACATGAGTGTTGAATGTCAAAGTGCTGGTAACATGTATGTATCTTTTTCCATTTATACACTATTACGCATTAACTATAGTAGTAGCGTTGGGGTAAAAATGATCCAGGAAAACATAAAGGAATAACTTTGCACAACCTCGTCATTTCTCTGTCAGAAATTTTGAAAATTGAATGAACTTTACTTTGTGCAACGGTGAAAAAACTTCTGAAAATGAGCTCCAAATAGGATTCTAAAACAGATTTATAGAAATTTTATACATTTTTTTAAAAGCTTACAACAAAAGATAAGTTTCAAATGTAAATCAACATTTAAGTTTTAAGTTAAAAGAATTGTAAAAAATTTAAAATAAATAAATAATAATAATAATAAGACGCGCATAAGTGGTCATCGATTGTCGTTGACCGCTAAATAAGGCGTTAAGCCACTTGACTTGACGTTTTCGTTTTTAGAATACTGGATAATAGTGATGGTTACTACATCGATAAGCGAGGATGTGGTTTAGGTTGGGACAGATTTGGAGAAGATGACATTTTTCATTCCCATTTTTTTCTTTTAGTTTCATTTTTTAAAATCATTTTCATACATTTTCTTTTTAATATTTTATATAAAATATTGATTTGCTTATTTACCCTTAGAAAGTTGGACATGTGCTTTGAAGTTTTCATCGCGCATTACGTTTTTTAGAATACTGGATAATAGTGATGGTTATGACAGCGATAAGGGGGGATGTGGTTTAGGTTGGGGTAGATTTGGGGAAGATGACATTTTTCATTTTTGTTTTTTCTTTTGGTTTCATTTTTTAAAATCATTTTCATACATTTTCTTTTTAATATTTTATATAAAATATTGATTTGCTTATTTACCCTTAAAAAGTTGGACATGTGCTTTGAACACGTCTATTTAATGAACTTTTAACGTTCAGGGATAATGCAAAAAAATAAAAACAAAAATAGAGTTCGAAACTAATTTGCACTTTTTGAAAAGATAAGGAACCTAGTTGCAATTTTCCCTTGAAAATAACTAAACTCTTTAATCAAATACACCCTTAAATCTATTAGTATACACGATAACTTAATTCATAAGTTTGTCCATGGAGGGACCCTTAGGCTAAACTAATCAAAACTCAGAAGACACAGACACAGTAAGAATTCAACTCAAAATCAAACTCAAACTGTCTCCAACTGGACAAAAAATCTCAAAAACACCCCAAAATATCTGAACCAGTTGGACCCACATGTCCACTCTTTCGACCACAACCTCTTCTTCAACTCCTAAATCAAGAAAATGAACTACCAGGTTGGATCTTCTCCTCCGTCCTCCCCCCTTCCTTAATTCCTTCAAATTAATTATTTGTTTCTTAGTACTTTTTCTTGCCTTGAAAAATATGTGTAATGGAAAACTGAGGATTGCTACAGTGAGAGTTGACAGGAAATGGAAAGGAGAGGACAACCCTTCACCGCCTTATTGTTCTTGGCTGATATTTTTGGCTTTGGGGCGGCGACTATACCTATATATGTATATATGCAACCCCATCACCTCTCAGCGGCCATTATTCACCAATTATACACTCCACAAAAATCCCACTGGGATTTCCTCTCTAATCTGCTCCAAAATCCCAAGAAACTAATTCAAGAACATATTTTGATGATGGATCATGAAGATTATAAAAGCCTATTTTCTTCTTCTTCTTCTTCTGGGGAGTCTGATATTTCTACACCGCCTACTACGATGCCATTTTCTTCATCAGAATCCTTCCCTTTGCCTTTATCAGTGGTACCTCCATTTCCTAAACCACAAGAGCCCCCACCTTTAAAAAACTCTGATCCTTTTCCACCCCAATTTGAATTCAAAGGCGTTCCAATTGGAGAAACCGCAGCTCCGAATAGTGTAGGTGGTTCTGGGGATTTATTCGGTATGCCACAGCCTATGGAGTGCTTGCATGAGACCGCAATTCCTCCATTCTTGTCAAAGAGTTTCGATTTGGTGGATGATCCTTCATTGGATTCTATAATTTCTTGGGGAGCAAAGGGCAACAGCTTTGTTGTGTGGGATCCTGTGGAATTTGCTAGGATTATTTTGCCAAGGAATTTCAAGCACAACAATTTTTCAAGTTTTGTTCGGCAACTTAATACATATGTGGGTATCCATTTAATTTTACTCTGGGATGTTCCTGTTCTTGGTCTACATATCTGTTGATTCTTAATTTCTTTGTTTCATTGCTCTTGCTTTTGTATGTATATTCTTCTGTAGTTCTTGTGTTTCTTCTATGTACTTTTTGGAATCCGTTTCTTGTAATTGTATTTAGCTTGATGTAAATGAAGCTGTAGAGCATTTTTAGTGCTGGCGGATCACATGCTTTTTGTACTGAAAAGATGGAATGATGTAATTTTGTATTTAATACATTTTATTTCTTTGAGCAATCTTAATGCTGGATGAACTTTTTTGTATTAAAATTTTGTGTAATCTTGGTGATATTTTGGGATTGTTATAGTGATGTGATCATATTAGTATATAGTGTGTCATCGTTCATCAATCCATCCTGTAGATAGTGCTGAGATGCTACAATTTTCTCCTTTGAAAATAAGAACTCAAATCTCCCTGGACTGGCTGCTGAAATTTGGAGGTTCATCTATTCACAGGTAGTATTTAAGCTTTGGTGGACATTTCCTGAGTTTTATACATCTAATTACTTTCTTTGGGACTGAAAGTATTGTACTGATTTGTGTATGTTTAGCACAATGCAGCTCCTTATACTCGGGGAATTGGCCGTGTGGATTTTGACTTGTGACTCTGTATAGTTATTTTCTTAGGACAAAAATTCTTTATTCATGGTGAATTTTGTTTGATGAACATGAATTTGTGACTGATTTTTGGGTATTTGTATACAGGGATTTCGTAAAATTGATACTGACAAGTGGGAGTTCGCCAATGAAGGATTTTTAAGAGGGAAGAGACATTTAGTGAAAACAATCCAGAGACGAAGAAAACCTCAGTCTCTGCAGATTGGAAGCTTGTCTGGATCATCTAGTGAGGCAGGGAAAGCTGCATTGGAAGGTGAATTAGAACATTTAAGGAAAGAGAAAAGCTCAATGATGCAGGTAGTGGTTGAAATGCAGCATCAACAGCGAGATACATTTCAGCACATGGAAACTGTTAATGAAAAGCTCCAGGAAGCAGAGAAGAGGCAGAAACAAATGGTTTCGTTCTTGGCTAAAATGTTTCAGAATCCAGCCTTTCTAGCTCATATTCAGCGAAAGGAGCGAAATGGCATAACTTCTCCGAGAAGAAAATTTTTAAAACATCGACATGAGTCAGGTACACCTGACTCATCCCTCGAGGGGAAGACTGCGAAGTGTAGACCCAAACTAAAAGATTTTGCCGTGGCTTCTGAACCTTTGGAGTTCAATCCCGTTCCTGATTATCCTTTACAAAATACGGGAGAAAACCTTGCTTTTGATGAAGAGTGCGTTCCGTTTCAGGTTGAAAATACTGATCACGATGAATTGGCGCTGATAACCCAGGAACAGACAGGACTTCCAAGTCTGAACACTCTAAATCAGTTTAAAATAGGAAAGAATGTAATGAATCCTGAGCAGCAAGTCACTCCCGAGTATGAAATCTCTTTCCCTGAGGACTTGGCTAGGGAGAAGAATTTTCTTGAAATATCGTCACCAGGAATTGAAAGTATGGTCAAAGAAGAGGTCAAATGGAACTTAGGCTTTGAAGCCAGTGATGATATATCTAGTTATACAAACGAGTTATGGGGTAACCTTAGCAATTATGAGATGCTGGAATTAGGTGTTAGCAGCGGCATATCTGACATTTGGGATATAGGTTCACCGCAGCCCTGGGGAATTTCAGGCATTGAGACGTGGCCAGACGAACACTCGCCATGAGCTAGAGAACCAAGCCTGGCCAACCTAGATATGAGAGTTCAAATAAAATGGACCCGTAGGGTTTATAACTGCTGCTTTAGTATACTATAGTAGATTGGTTTCCTTTATATGATGAACAGTAATACATATATTAATTTGTTATTAAGTTCCTTTATTTTCTCTATTTTTGCAGCTATTTCTGTTAATTTCATGATAGCCATTTTCTTATAGTGCTTGAACTTCGTAAATTCGCGACAACAATATGCTGAGATTTCCTTCTAACAGATGTATTTGAAGTCAAGGATGTGCAGGTTTTGGGACGATGCAATCGGACCATGGCAGGAGTTTGTGTTTATGAGTCAAGCAGATTCTATGACGGGTAAGATATCTCAATCTAGAAAAGCACATCTATTTTCATGCTATGCATAGTTATATTACTTGTCTAATCTTTGAGGAGATGATCCACTAAATTTTTCATTGTTACTCGAGAAGAACTGTCGATATGATCTACAGTTTTATGGAAAAATCCATTTGTACAATCATTATGAGGTTGTAATTTTTACAACCTCTTACATTAGGGTGATGCCCACTAATTAATTTTATAATGATTGTACACCAAGCATTGTTCACAGTTTTATATGCAATTGCATAGTAACAAGTTGAATGCATGATAAGTAAATCAACAGAATGGTAACTTCTCTCTGGATTCTCAAAAGTTCATGTAAACTATTATTTACCCTAACAAGACTGAAGAAACATATGATTAAAAATGAAATGAAACTACTGAAAAATAATTCCTCAAGCAGCAGCTCAATTTGTCGCACCTCTGTGAAACCTGCTGTATCCATATTAATGCATAAGAATTTGGGATTTTCGAGCTCGACTCCGTTCAAATTTTAAAGAAGTACAAGAAAGAAGAGGTAACGGGGAGTCGTATTACAAATTATAATCAGTGTGACCGCACAATTTCGACTGGATTTTGACCTCATTCATAAAAGAGTATCTTTTATGGCCGCAAATTAACATTAGCCATGTAGGATCAAAATTACTTTAGATTATCTAAGTCGCCTTAAATTACCCTCTTCTTTTATTTATATTATTTAGTCCTTGTTTGGTGGAAATTAAAATCAAAATTTTAATATAAATCGAAGTCAACAATTAATTTTAACCACACGTTTAATGAAATTCTATAAAAATCTACTATAAATTTGATTTTAATCCCCATACCAAACAAGAGCATAAAATAATTTTAACATAAAATAATTTTACTGTTGAAATTACCAGAACAAACCTAACATAACACTTATGGACCTTAGGGTAAACAAGAACAAATATAAGTAAGGAGAGGTCTTTGCACGCCAGTAAACACGTCGCATGGAAGAAAGGACTAGAAACAATACAAACACTGATTTCTTTCACAACTCTCCAGCATTCCTCTTTTTCTTTTTCATGTACCCAATTTATCTTTTTGTAAAGGGGGAATTTAATCCCCATACCAAACAAGAGCTTAAAATAATTTTAACATAAAACAATTTTACTGTTGAAATTACCAGAACAAACCTAACATAACACTTACTTATGGACCTTAGGGTAAACAAGAACAAATATAAATAGGGGTGGGCGTGGGTTGGGTCGGGTCGGGTCGATTTTTGACCAAATCCAAACCCAACCCAACACGATCGGTTTGATTGAAATTCAACCCAACCCAACCCACATAAAGATTGAAACCCAACCCAACCAAATGACGGTCGGGTTGGGTTGGGTTGGTCGGGTTGGAACAACCCTTCAACTTCAACAAATATTAAAGTCCTATACTTTGGGCTATCAACCTAACCTGACGGCATAAGAAAGCAGGAATCTGAATTATGTCTGCAATCCTGCCAACTGCTTCGCACTGCGAAAAATCATGTATTATAGTCCAGCGATGAAACATAGCTGTTGCTAAGTTGAAACTTGTTGTACATACATAACTTTCAATGACAAAATATTGAATGATCTAACTACTAATCAAAAGGAAAATAATATCATGTATAGAAAATTAGAGGGGGTACACGGCCTAAGTGCCTGTTTAAGTTAAAATATATATATAATTATTCCAGACCAGCAGGTTTCTGAGTTACTTGCATTTCTGGTGTAGACCACTTCTGTTTCCCCATTCTCTTTACCTACTCAAAAATGGAGCAGTATTTTTTTCCAAGATGACCATCAAGGAGCCAAATAGTGTGTGGGTTACTTATGGCATATAAGGTTTAAGATTTTAACTCATCAGATTCAAGCCTGGGAAAGTGTCACTGAGAACCAATGGCTATGTTAGAAGGCAAGATACATCACAAAATCTCAAATGTGAATTAGAATAGTGCACCATCATACAAGAGAACACTGGATGACTAATATTAACTTTATCGTGGCCATAAAATACTTTTGGGAGACAAAATTGCATGTCTCAGATCTTGGTATAGACAAAAGAATGAGAACTTTTCTCCAGATTCATAGAATGGGACACTGTTTACACAAAATCTGAGAACATGATGCTAAATTTAATAATTTAAATGGCCGAAAAACAATTTCATAGTTCTACTATCATTGGAGACTTGTTTGGTAATCAATTATATATTTAAGAAAGAGTTGTACATAACACGAAGAGCAGCCTTTACAATAGGGTAGAACGATTTGTCTCGTGTACATCAGTGGCTACAGGAAGATCATATGTTGTCTTCATCCTTTCAAGGAGCTACGAAAAAAAGGAGAAACACAAATGAATGGACATTTATTGGCATCACACAGGCTTACCCATTGTAAAACTTCTAGTAAACTTTGTAATTGACTTCCCATTTAAAGCAATATCACATAACACTGCAACATACAACTAAATAGGAGCCAATAATCCTAAATTTTACAGTCTTTACATTAGTACAAACACAAAATAGTAAAAGAGAAGTCAATCACCACTCGGCCCTCACCAGTTGAAGAAAAGAACTGCATTCCACCTTACCAGCGCCGTCGACGACGGGGAGAAGAGAGATTTTCTAGGGTTTGTATCGGGTTGAGCTTCGTTTTGAATTTTCTAGAGTCTGGGTCTCTGCCTCTGGAGTCTCTGGACATTGCGTGTAAATAATTTAATAGGCTTTTCTTTTTTTCTCTTAGCGGGTCGGGTCGGGCGGGTTTTGTGGATCAACCCGTGACCCGACCTACCATGATTTAAAAAAACCGAACCCATATAAAATAAATTAAAAAAACGGACCCAAACCGATCGGTTTGGGTCGGTTTGGGCGGTTCGAGCGGGTTGGGCGGTTTTTTGCCCACCCCTAAATATAAATAAGGAGAGGTCTTTGCACTCCAGTAAACACGTCGCATGGAAGAAAGGACTAGAAACAACCCAAACACTGATTTCTTTCACAACTCTCCAGCATTCCTCTTTTTCTTTTTCATTTACTCAATTTATCTTTTTGTAAAGGGGGAGGGTGTTTGCTTGACAGCCTAGATTACAATGCAACTTACTTGGAAAAAAATATAAATTATGACCAATTGAATAGTCAATGCTTCACATGCCTTGCTGCATTTGTGAAGTTACTTTCCCTCTGTTGAGGAGAATACCCTTTTTACATGTCATAGTCACTTGATATATTAGTAATTTTAAAAAAAATGTTATGTGTACACACGGCTTTATACCCCCCTCACATGGAGGGAGGCCCAAAAATATTTTATTGTGTGTGGGCCCCCCTCCATGTGAGTGGGGTGTAAAGCCATGTGTACACCATTATATACACGTAGCATCTCTGTAATTTAAATCATGAAAAGTTAAAAGAGTAAGTTGGAAAGTTAGTAATTTCTGCTCCATTGAATATTACTTTCAGTCAGTTACAAAATACATGCAAAATGGCCCACGGGGCACATCTTCAAGTGGTAAAAAGGGAAGGTGGAAAAACTCCAGCTTTACTTGAGGCTGTCGCGTCAAGAGTTCAAATTCGAAATATGGATTTGGCCCTTAGATAAGTTCAAGTGTACAAGCAGCCTTCCACCCTGTACCCTTGCAGGCATAACCTGCGATTTACCTCCTTCATCAAGACCCAAGGCAGGATAGGTGTGGACCGTCAAGGATGCGGCTCATCCCCTTTTTTTAAAATACATGCAAAATGACAGAATCACATGTGATGCATCTCATCCATGATATCTAGAAGGTCAATAAATGCTACCCGACAAATAACAACATGTTACTCGGTGACTTCGTTAACTTGAGATCAACCCACAATTTCCAGTTTATGTTCAAAGTTTCCCCGTATTCCCACAGTTAACACTTTCCATAGGACAAATCCTGTCTCGCCAAAGCACGCTCTTCCGATAACACGGATCCACCCCTCAAGCTATCAACATCTATAGGCTTACCGGAGCTGTTTTTTCCCAGCAAGTCACCATAGAACCGCACAAATTCATCGACCACTTCCTCCAAAGAAGAAGTATAAGTACCATCCCCTTTACATACCATCGCAATGAAATTCCTTTTAGCATTCCCTTAACCATAGAATGGAAGAAGTTTGTGCAATCACTATTTTTAAGGTACTCAAATTTCGCTTGTTGGAAGTAGAAGCTCCTCTCCGCTTCACAAAGATCATTAGCTTTTCTCCTCATGCTCGCCACTCTACTTTGAAGTTCAACATTAAAGGGATCATCATGCAATTCCAATTGAGCCTCTTTCAAAATCAAAGTAGCCGATTGTGCCCTATTGGAGATATGGGCAAAATGCTTATCATTCAACTTCTTAAGCTCCCCTATTAGACCTTGCAACTTTTTACATAACACAAATTCCTTGAATTGCTCAACATAAAAGACTTGTTCCACGAGAATCTTCACAGCAACATCATGTAGGCTCACGTAAGATTAAAGTTGAGGGAATCATAGCAACCTCTGTTGAGGAGAATACCCTTTTCACATGTCATAGTCACTTGATATATTAGTAATTTAAAAAAAAATATTATATGTACACTTCATGGTGTACACATGGCTTTACACCCCCCTCACATGGAGGGGAGCCCATGAATATTTTATTGTGTGTGGGCCCCCCTCCATGTGAGGGGAGTGTAAAACCGTGTGTACACCATTGTGTACACGTAGCATCTCTCTAATTTAAATCATGAAAAGTTAAAAGAGTAAGTTGGAAAGTTAGTAATTTCTGCTCCATTGAATATTACTTTCAGTCAGATATAAAATACATGCAAAATGGCCCCCAGGACACATCTTCAAGTGGTAAAAAGGGAAGGTGGAAAAATTCCAGCTTTACTTGAGGCGTCGCGTCAAGGGTTCGAATCCGAAATATGGATTTGGCCCTTAGATAAGTTCAAGTGTACAATCAGCCTTCCACCCTATACTCATGGAGGCATAGCATGCGATTTACCTCCTTCATCAAGACCCAAGACAGAATAGGAGTGGACAATCAAGGATGCGGCTCATCCCTTTTTTTAAAATACATGCAAAATGACAGAATCACATGTGATGCATCTCATCCATGATATGTAGAAGGTCAATAAATGCTACCTGACAAATAACAACATGCTACTTGGTGACTTCGTCAACTTGAGATCAACCAACAGTTTCCAGTTTATGTTCAAAGCTTCCCCCGTATTCCCATAGTTAACACTTTCCATAGGACAAATCCTGTCTCGCCAAAGCACGCTCTTCCGATAACATGGATCCACCCCTCAAGCTATCAACATCTATAGGCTTACTGGAGCTGTTTTTTCCCAGCAAGTCACCATAGAACTGCACAAATTCATCGACCACTTCCTCCAAAGAAGAAGTATAAGTACCATCCCCTTTACATACCATCGCAATGAAATTCCTTTTAGCATTCCCTTAACCATAGAGTGGAAGAAGTTTGTGCAATCACTATTTTTAAGGTACTCAAATTTCGCTTGTTGGAAGTAGAAGCTCCTCTCCGCTTCACAAAGATCATTAGCTTTTTTCCTTATGCTCGCCACTCTACTTTGAATTTCAGCATTAGAGGGATCATCATGCAATTCCAATTGAGCCTCTTTCAAAACCAAAGTAGCCGATTGTGCCCTATTGGAGATATGGGCAAAATGCTTATCATTCAACTTCTTAAGCTCCCCTTTTAGACCTTGCAACTTTTTACATAACACAAATTCCTTGAATTGCTCAACATAAAAGACTTGTTCCACGAGAATCTTCACAGCAACATCCTGTAGGCTCACGTAAGATTAAAGTTGAGGGAATCATAGCACAATCATGTAATACAAGAATTAAAACAAAAAAAAAAAAGGCATTCATATTATTAAAAATTTGTGAACAATAAGAATAATGAACGTGAAAAGATATTCAGAATGGTGAATAAGGCCCAACACAAATAAGAAAAAAAAGGTTTCACTTGTTCAGAGAATAAATGGATGTCTTACACAACCATTCCACTCAGCATGGTGGACAGTACCAAAAGAACCTGCAAAACCATTGAGTACACGAGTCAAAAGTGCGGCAGGGTCACAACTCTGTTCTCCACAACATAAGAAAATAACATGGTTTACACCCAGTAATTCTTTTACAGGAGAAGAAGTACCTGCCCCAATTCTCTTCTTTATAACAAGATCACTCCAGGGAATGCTGAAATCTTCGACATCAAATGCAAGTTCACTTGTTTTTTATGCAGCCAGTTGAACTCCTCCAACAGAGCTCACATCTTTATTTGTATTTAGTCTTGGATCCAATAGGTCATCTTTATGTCTGGGTGGAGGGATATTCTTTTAGTCTTTGATCACATTTGTGGAGTTCACGATATTGTGAGGATTAGATGATTCCGAATGTAATGGTTCTTTATCATGAACCTTTATCCAATAATTCGTTGGAAACTGCGGCAATTGTGAAATTTCATCTAGGTTGCTGATTCTATTTTGATGAGCCCTATCTGATTGTTTAAGATAGATGGAGTCGCCAACATCTCCATCAGTAACAGTTTCAACTGTCACAAGAATAACAAATCTTCAGTCAGAATTTAAACCAATCAAACTAATAGAAATGAGCATAATATCATCCATATCACAGCGTATGCCGCCAACATCAACACGGTAAAAGATATGAACATAGAAATGCAGTTAGCAAGATTTAAACATAAGACATCAGAGAAATGTTAATGTCAATCCTCAAATCACTCGGATTCAAGTAGATCTAGCAGTGGATTGAACTGAGTGGTAAAGAGGGATTCATGTAGCCGACCCCAAGTTTATTGAAAACAACGCTTAGTTTGCTGTCCCTGTTGTACAGGTTGCTCAAATCACTAGGCTCCCGTAAATAAAATATGTGAAGATTAGAAATATTTAAATCCATTAAGTCAAAACATTAGTAGTTACATCATATTTAAAAGAGGGTGTACATTCCTTATATTATATTGGTCTATATTTCGATATTTAATCGATGTGAAATTTTTCCCACAACCTTTTTTGTTCAACTTATTTGTGTAGAAGAAATGTATAAGATGTTTCCTATTCTTTATCCTTTTTTCTATTCATAGCTATATTAAATCGACAATTCCACATCATAAATTAAATTGTCTTTTTGTTCCCAACTTACTTTTCAATCACAAACTATTTATTCCCCATGCCATTGTTTTCCTACACTGCATTGAATTCTCTGCCTTCACAAACTTCCTATTATGTCTGTCTCAGTGGGTCAATTCTCGGAAATAAATGTCCAAGTCCATAGTTCTGGTGAAAGCTAATAACTAATATTTTGTGCAGATTTTAGAGCATTGACGTTTCATGATGGTTAAATCTTTCTCGGTTGCATTTCCTGCTCGTCTTTTTCAATCCACCACATGCCATGGCAAGAACATACAAAAGAAAAGTTGGTTGATTTTTATAAATTAACTATTAAAAATAGAACTGATCTCCAGTCCCAAGTGGACATGATAGAGAACCTTAGTTATGATTCTTGCTATGTCAACGATGGGAAGTTTTTATCATTCACTACATTTTTGTGTTGTCATTTGCTTATTGAAAATTAAGAAAATCAATCGTAGATTGTATTTAAGATCGAAACTATATCTTTTACCATCATAAAAACAGTGATTCTTGTGCTGTCATTTGCTTATTGAAATAAAATTGCAACTAGAAAAAGAGAATTTACTCCAAAATTTCATAATCATAAACTTTTATCTTACGGTGTGCTTTGGGAAACATGAGCCTCTGTGATCACTTGTCCCATATACACAAGAACAAATTCATTCGAGATATAACTCGAATTCTTATGCTTAACCTAAAAGAATAACAGCATTCTTTCTACAAGCGAAGAACTGTAAACAGTAGTATGGGTGAAAAATGTGAAAGCGGAAGAAGAAACTGCAAAGAGAGATTTCTGAAGACGACACCTTCCAACACACTAAGACTGGGGAATGAATGTCCCAATATAACCAAACCCGGCAATGAAAAAGGCTATTGCTTGAGCAAAGAGGTAGATGAAATAGTAGTTTTTCCCGAATGCCATGTCGTAGCACCCACAAAAGAAGAGGTAAGAGCCCACACCAAGCTCTAACAAATGGAGCCTGTTGAAAACAAACAAGTTAATGTTTGAGCCTATTATGGATGATACCCTAATTCCTACTTTCGATTACAATAATTATAAAAAATGTAATACAGTCGTGTGTATTACATATATATACCTCTCTCCGATCCTTAGTAGAGGTTTCTTAAAAGCTTTAGGGGCTGATTTTAACTTATGAGCATCCCCAAGTTTCTCAGTGACAACCCATTCATTCACTCTTCCTGCCTCCAACAAGCCAATGAATGTAGCTTTAGTCCGATGTAGCGACATGACATTCTCGTAAAGGATCCAGAATACCAGCAAATGGAGTGACCTACATGTTTAAAATAACAAATATGAAAGAACCTTAATGAAATTCAATTGTAGGACAACACAAACATCTTATATTAGGCCAAGAATAAAATCATGTTGTTGTTCAACTTAATTTCTCTTTCTTTTTTGTATCAGATTAGTTTCATTCACACTTCAGTTCATAAAAAGACAGTTGTACGCATTTTTCAAAATGAACGCTACCATTAGCACGCACAACTACTTTTTCCAGCATGAGCTTCTTTGTCTTGATGCACCAAATCGAATGCAGATAAAAAGAGCCTAGCTAAGAAACCAAACCTCGGAGTCCCAACTGCATTGAGTAAGGTAATGATGGAAGGTATGTACACTGCTCCCCACTTTGGAACCTCAACTTCAGGTACTAATACGGTTGCAGGTAATACAACACAGTAAAACACGAATGTGACTATATGGGCTACGATCTTTCTGACGAAGAAGAAACTGTATATTACATGAACCTTTTTCCACAAAGACACTTTCTACAAAAAAAAAAAAGAGAGAGAGAGAGAGAGAGAGAGAAGTTCGATCAGAAATTGGATTTTTTTTAGCTCATTCCATAATATTGAGGATCAGAGGAAGGGAGTGAGTAATTAACCTTGTTTTTGACAATCTCCATAAACATTTTTCTGAAAAGATTGGCAGGTCCACATGACCAACGATGTTGTTGATAGCGATATGCCTTGAATGTGCTTGGCAATTCGTTTTTCACCTTAGTGAAGAAAAAAATCGAACAGAAGATCAGTTCACAAATGATACGTAATGCCACTTTGCACAAACATGTACACTTATACAGACCTTCATTCCTTATTATAACATATGTAAGGGCAAACTGCAAGTTTTCAGGTACGAGATATACATCCTAGTCAATATGGGCATTTTCACCTGATAAACTCCACTTAACCTTTTTCCCTCTACGGAATTTTAGTAATAGACTAATAACCCTTTCTCCCTCGAGTGGGAAACAACTTTGACCATTATACTTTATGAATTTATGTAGTTAAAAGAACTTATTTACATGATTGGAACAACAAAATCGCGTCTTTTTGATAATTGACTATCTAGATGAAGTGTATATTTACCATGAGGGAACCGAGGTACAAAAACTTCCATCCTCTAAGACTAGCTCGGACGGCCAAATCCATATCCTCAACTGTTGTTCGATCCTTCCATCCTCCAGCTTCGTCAATGGCTGCGATTCTCCAAACTCCGGCCGTTCCTTGTATTTTATACATGCACAAATTATATGATGCCATAAGATAGGCATGCTCAATATAAGTAATAAACAAACTTTAGCAAGTTTTTGCAAAATTCAAAATATTAATAGATACGAAATAGATAATTAGACTCGAGATTACCATTGAAGCCAAAAAAGGCATAGGTAGATGATCCTACTTCTTGCTCCACAGTAAAATGGTAGTCTAATGACATTTCTTGCATTCTTGTCATCAAGCATTCATCAGCATTTACTGAAAGATCAAATCCCACGTAAACAAATAAAAAAAATTATTATTCTTAACATAAACAAAGAAAATAACAAAATTAGTATATGACAAAAATAAATGAAAATTGTCGGTTAGAAGAGGGTGGCTGAGGTCCACCACTCGTAGCACATCACATGCAATTGCTTGGCCTTAGAAAGACCAGACAGAATGACAAATATACCCTTATCATTATTACTAACTCAAAAAATGTACTCCCCCTCTCTTTGGAGTGAAAGATTTTCTGGCATGCGTAATGGCCATAGATCTTGCACTCCACATTTGGATTTTTTAAGCTACATGGCAGCTTTTTCATTAAAAATAAAAAGTTTTGTGGGGTTATTTATGTCCATCCACCAGAGACATGAACAAGTGTTCATCAAGAAATCAAACACTTTGGATCACCTTTTAATGACACTTGTTCCATATGTACCCTCACTACCTTTGAATAAAGCCACATGAATAGGCTAAAAAACGGATAAAGTACTGGCTGACTTGACAATATATGTGTAGATTTTTTTTTTTACAAACTGTCCAATAATGTATGGACGCGTGTCCCCTATGTTTTTGGATTGTTCTATATATACACAATGGAGTACACAAAGTTTTACACTCACATGGAGGGGGGCCTTCACCCAATAAAATATTCGTGGATCCCCTTCCATATGAGGAAAGTGTAAAACTTTGTGTACACCACAAGGTTTACACATAACATTTTTCTATGTTTTTAGCATATCCTTCTGTCCTTGAGCCTGTATGTCATAGCATAATTGAATACCTTTTTACTTCCACCAGCGGAAACAACTTTTTTCACGAGTCAAAAGAAACATTGAACTCAATGTCTGTACATTGTTCTGTCTTGTCTAATCCACGAGTCCAACTCCAACTACTATTATGAGACGAGTTACACGTGATTGAAGCTAAAAAGCCAACTAAAGTTGTAGATGGCGCTATCTATGGACTAGTATGCGACTCAATCCTTGTCAATATCTTGCCACCGACAGTTTATAATATCACTTAGCAATTATTAATAATAATGTTATTATAATATAAAAGTAAAAATCAAATATTTATCATACAAAATAGTATGAAATTTTGAAGGGCGAGTTGTTACCAAACTTCCAACGGGCTTGAACGAGGGCAAGTTCCGGATTATGAACTAAGAAAGGGATGGTTTGCCAGAGGAAATCGGGTTCGGGTTGAAAATCGGCATCGAAAGTTGCTACATAATCGCATAGTTTCTCATAGGGGTGCTTTAATCCTTCGTTTAGTGCTCCAGCTTTGTATCCATTTCTGTTGTCACGAATTTCATACTTGATATTAATTCCCTTGCCTGCCCACCTTTGGCACTCCAGTTCCACCAGATTCTACCACACAACAAAAGCAAAATTGATCAATTTTACACAAAAAAGAAAAATTTATTCATGTACGTAGAAAGAAAGGGTTTAATGGATTACCTTGATTACAGGATCCGTTGAATCGTCGAGCACTTGAATAATTATACGATCGGAAGGCCAAGAAAGGCCACATGCAGCCCCAATTGAGAGTTGATATACCTATATATACATGTAAAGAAATGCCATCAGGATTTTGCAAGAAATTTGGTGAAGAATTCAAGAATGAATGATGAAATATGGAGAGAGAAGAAAAAGACCTCTTTTTCATTGTACATTGGGATTTGAACAAGCACCATGGGATAAGCTGAATTTCCCAGCTCTAAATCATCTCTCAGAGGCTCCCATTTATATCGTTTTTCTGGTTTTCTACCAAAAATTTTCACAAGAGTGATAACAATTCCCGTGTAAACCCTCTCAATGAACAACATGACTGACATTATCAAGCATAAAAATACAGCAACTTTAAGCCAAGGGACGATCAATGGGGCTTTGATCTGACCCCGAAGTATGCTTAATTGCTCACTGATATCATCTCCAGCACCCTCGAATGTTGTTGTGGATGAAATCTGGTCCATTTTTTTCCTCTGTGTTTGGGAGTGAAAAAAAAACAGAGGAAAACAGGGGACTTGATAGACAAGTGAAGATCTGCTTGTGTATATATAGGGTTTTTCTTTGCCAAATCTGCAAGAATATGTATATTGTTTTGCTTTTGAGGGACGCAAGAAAAAAATGGATTTAGAGCTGGAATGTCAGAAATCACTAGCTCAAACCTTCTACAGTAATTATACACAAAAAACCCAATGCAGAAACTTTCGTGTCACACGTACGGAAAGGTGAATTAGACGAGTGTATATTAGCGTCCAAGAAAGAAAATGATTATACTGTATCTAAGACTTTGCCAGAAGACACCACTCACCAGTAGCTTGTAATAATGCAAACGTAGGCTTGGATCAGAGAGAGAGAGAGAGGAAGCAATGCAGAAAGAAAAAGAGAGAGAATCTCTCTTTATAGAAGCTCTGTTTTGGCTTCATGTTTAGGTTTGCTTCTCTGTCTCTGAGTTAAATGATTTGTATCCAGGAACAGGATGTATTATTCGATAATACGACGTAGAATCTGTGTTTGTGAATATGGATTATGTATGTAATGTAAGGTTTTGCATGGTAAGTACAACGGTCAATAACGTTAATATTTTTTAAACTTCATTTGAACATAAAAGTGGGCGAATTCATGTTTGGACGACTCAGAATTAAAGAGGGAATAAATGAATGGGACCATCCTCGAGAGCTATGTGAATAGACAAAAATGCCCTCCTGAATATGTGGTCAAGTTAGCTCTCAATTACAAGTTCATGTAACAATTATTATGCGCCCGCCCATTATTTGAGATTATGGCCTTGTTTGATTTTTATTTTTTTCTAAATATATTTCTCTTTTTTCTTTTCAATTCCACATTATTTCATTAAAATAATATTACAGGTAAATAAAAAAAAATTTTAATCACATATTCTCGATCAATCTACTATTTGAATATGTGTCCGTCAAAATATGTTTATGAGATTAAAAATTTATTTTTAAAAAAGAACTTTATTTAAATATGAGAGTTTTTATAGAAAATTGACTTCAGATAACTTCTTAATGAGTTTTTCTACCGACGAAAAAAAAAAGAAACAGTAACAAATGCAGAAATCCTGCCAAATATATCATATGTATAACGTGTAATATCCTTCCCCTTTCATTTTTCCCTTTTTTTGCCCTTTAGTTGTTGTGGGTGGGGGTGTAAAGGTAAATAAGTGAGATTTATGTATATTAATTAAATGTCTTTGTTAAATAAAATGGTCTACATATATTATTCTAGAAGAAGACAAAATAGAAATAAATTGAGTATAATATGCATATTAATTCATAAGTGTATTCTTTTTTTTTTTTTTACAACAATCAATTTTTTGAGTTGTCAAGTTAATTTACAAAGTACTTTATGGCATTTAAATGTATTCTATTGTGTTATTATAATTTAGTTGGTGCTTTTATTTAATATATAATTAAGAGAGACTTTACCTTCGACTCACTCTCAGTAGACGAACCTTGCGGAGGAACCCTTAAGTTTTCGGGGCATTGAATTCTCAACAATGTTAGCGAACACATATTTAAGCATACATGAATGAATAGCCTCTTCCATCTATAGGTACTTTCGACCGCATGAATACCATAATAGATATAATGCATGTCCACGTTCGGTTCATTTGCCATATGAATAAGTTTAAACAACTTTATGTAAAAGCTAATATTACATAGTTTGAAGAAAAAATTGTATCACATAAAAAGTATTGGAACATAGTATAGAAATGTACAAAAACTACACAAGTTTGATGCGAGATTGATAAAAGTATAATCCAAAACATAATTAGAAAAAAAGTTAAATAATCATTTTCATCCACGTCACTTTACAATATAAAAGTCAAAAGAGATAAAAGTGTCAAATAGATATTATTTGACACATTATCAACACTGCCCACCAAGTTAGCTAAGATGGCAGCCGGTCAGGCCTGGTTTCAATCGTCGGCAGAGCACAAAGTTGGAAAATCTACAATTGTACGATAAACTTGACAGTCACATTGAGGATGTATCTTAATAGTTGACACCACGTATGAAGAACCAATAAAAATTAGCCAACCATGAATATAATGACTAAAATTTTGTCTAACGTTGATATGAATGTTGTTAATTGTTAGTCAACAATTTTTTTCTAGTCTTTAATAATTAGAAACCTTTGATAGATTTAAGGAAAATTTAAATGCAGTCTATCAGACTAAAACCAACCATAAAACACCATCACTGGCGGACTTAAGGGTGGGCCTGGGGGCACGTGGCCCCCCAACTTTGCTTTTTTTTTTTTTTTAATGTTTTGTTTCAATTTTCGAAATCATTATAAGATGTGAAATAAAATCGAAATATTGCATTCTTAATACCATTTCGAAGTGCTCACAATATAGTTTTTTATATTGTTAACGGCGTGCGAAACGACCAATCGTAGCAAATGTTACGACTTGTCAAAGTAGGCGGTTTAAAATTAGTATTTCGAAAATTTCGATAACATGTTAACTTTAAAAATTTTACAACATCGTTCAGTAGTCGAATCTACAAATCGTTTATACCATCTCAAAGTTCGTTTCGATGACTACATTATAGGCATATCGAATAGTTCAAACAGATATCGAAAACAGTTAGAGATGCGTCAAACGTACGTCTTTAAAGGAGCCGTCTAACTCGCATTTTTAAAAAAAAATTAATTATTTCATTAACATTTATTATTTTTGTGATACAAATATTTTAATGTAATTTGCATTATTTTATTAGAAAATTTATATGGGATATGATATCAAAAAATTTCGAAATTTTATATCCGAAAAACCCATATTCCATATAAATTTTCGGATGCAAAATTTCATGAGGTATGGCTTTTTTGGATGTAAATTTTCGATTGTAAAATTTCTCCAAATTTTTTTGCAAATTTGATTGTGCCCCCTAACTTTAATTGTCTGCGTCTGCCCCTGAACACCATCACGTAGACAATGGCAGATCCAAAAAAAAAAAAAATGTTGAGCTAGGGCGGCCTTTGTGACCATTGTCGACAGTCAACAAGCGAAATAATAAGGTCGTTTATATATACTGATTTAGAAACTAATTCTGAATACCAATTTGAATCCACCAAATGTAGCTCAAACATGATACTTAAAGGAATAGAGGACATACACGTGTTCATATTTTTCTCCAGTTCGTTTTACAACGATCGAATCTTTTTTTAGTCCATTTGACATTCATACAAAAAGAACTATCTTGCCACATTTACAATTATTATGCGCCCGGTTGGTCCCATTATTTGAGCTTATGACCTTGTTTGATTCTCATTTTTTTCAAAATACATTTTTCTCTCTCTTTTTTTTAACTCCACATTATTCATTGAAATAATATTACACGTAAATTAAAAAAATCTTTTTTAATCACACATTCTCGATCAATCTACTATTTTAAAATACATTTTTCAAAAAGAATGGGGGCTCAAACACCCCTATAATTCTTGGAATAGTATTTTTTAAAAAAATGTATTATTAAAAAAGAAAAAAATTTGAATTTACATGTAATATTATTTTATTTGAGAACGTGTGGTTGATAAAAAGAGAAAGAAAATGAATTATAATTTTAATGGGACCAAACGGGAGCTATATCTGTCTGTCAAAATAGGTTTATGAGATTAAAAATTTATTTTTAAATGTGTTTGAATAATTTTTTGGAAACTACTTTATTTGAATATAGAGTTTTTATAGAAAATTGGCCTAAGATAACTTTTTAATGAGTTTTTCTGAAAAAAAAAAAGTAACAAATGCAGAAATCCCGCCAAATATATCATATGTACAACGTGTAATATCCTTCCCTTTTCATTCCAGCACCCCACCCCCACTTCCTCCCCTTTTTGCCCTTTAGTTGTTGTGGGTGGGGGTGTAAAGGTAGATAAGTGAGATTCATGGATATTAATTAAGAATAAAGTTTTTTGTACATTAATTAGTTGACATAAAATTTGACACTCCATGTATTTTCAAATCCAAATGGAGGGGAAATTGTATTTTATTTTAAAATTGTCCACTCATGCCACAATATGTGGCACGATGTCAAATAAAGTGTACATGTAGCATGATTGATTAATTAAATGTCTTTGTTAAAAAAAATGGTCTACATATATTATTGTCGAAGAAGACAAAACAGAAATAAACTATGTATAATATGCATGTTAATTTATACAATAAAACTATTTGTACATGTAGCATAACTCTTATACAATAATTTATAAGTTTAATCTTTTTTTTTTTAATGTGTTTATGGCATTTAATGTGCTTTCTATTATGTTATTATAATTTAGTTGGTGCTTTTATTTAATACTAGGAGCAAGCAACGT